AGAGATCCACTTGCCTCTGCCTGTGGAGTGCTGGGATCAAAGGCGTGCACCACAATGTCTGTCAAGGATCTGAGTTTTGATTCCCAGTCCCCACCATCTGTAACTCCAGTCCCAGGGAATCTGATGCCCTCTTCTAGCCTCCACCGAAACTAGGCACATGTGTGGCTCATAGACACACATAAAGGCAAAACACTCATATGCATAACAAATAAAATCAGTGAGGCCTGGCTGGCGGAAGTTAAGTCAGCAAGTGGACTTTAAGGGTTAAATTGCTGGCCTAGTTCCAGTCCTGTCTCTGTCCTGGCCACCATCATGCGACAAGCTGAAACACAAGAGCACCAGCTAACGTTCTTTCCCAGCATGATGGACTGTATCTCCTGAACTTTGAGCAAAGACAGATTTCCCTCTTGTTGAAATCAGCGATTCTGTGAAACTGACAAAAAGTAACTAATATTAGTTCATCTCTACCTCAGTGGAAACTCTCTTCCTCTCCAGCTTCTTGCCTTTATCGTTCCCATCACCACCATCATTATCTTCTAATTCTGTTGTGATGTTCTTACACATGAGTAGTGGAGAAAATATTACAGCCAAGGGACATACCATTGTACATTTATATTTAAAGAACAACATAGATGCATTACACACTTTACACTATCACATACCAGCCTCCCTTCATCCACCTCCCTACCCTGGCAACCCATGCTCTTAAAACACCATCTCCAGTGAGTTTTGAATGAAAACATGAACTGTTGAATAAAAACATGAAATCTGTGTAAACTGATATGATGTTTCACAATCCTAATAATGTGTTTATGTTCATTTGGGGTCTATTTCCCTAGGTTATTTTGATTACTACTGCTTCAGAGCTCTTGCTCATTGATTTATGCAGAAAAACTAGAATGTTTTGTGTCTATATTTCATGGTAAGCCTCTCTAATTTAGGTTCTTTCAATTTATATTTAATTATATATATATATATATATATATGTGAGTGTACATACATATGTGCGCATTCATGTATGTGTATATGTAGGTTGATCTGTTCATGTGGCTATTGTGTATATCCTCAGCAGAGGACATTCTATCAAATGAGATATCCTGCTTTTAATGGGTATATCAAGTTAACAGGATTGCCCCAACTTTAAGACTGAATGTCTATGTAGCTTTGGGAGCCCCACTGTATTGAAACTCACGAGAAAAAGAGTACAGAAATTGAAATAGGCTGGTCGTATGTGATTACAGGCTGGTCAGTGTCCTCATGTGGACGTGCAAACTGACCACATCTCTCCTACACCCCCCTTCCTTCCTCTTCTCGTTACTGCCTAGTAATTTAAAACACACAATCAAAATGCATGTAGCCACAGATAGGAAAATAAAAGAGCCAAAAATTTATAAAAGCATCAACCCGTATCATTCTGGGCTCTAGCCTTTGGATAACAATCTGCTAGAAGCCTGCCAGCATAATAAACTGCTTCCTGGTAAAAGACGCCCAGGGTTCTGTTTCTACTGCTTCCTGGTAAAAGACGCCCAGGGTTCTGTTTCTCGGACTAGAGAGCTGGAAACAAAGGGCCTGAGGCTATAGCTCAGTTGGTGGGGGTGCTTGCCTGCTTTGATCCCTATCACCACAGTAGGGGGTAGGGGGAGCGGGGGGTAGGGTGTGTGTGTGAGCGTGCGGGCGCATATTTGTAGTTTTAACACTTGGGTGGTAGAAGCAAGGAGCATCAAAAGTTCAAAGTCATCCTTGGTTTTAACAAGTTTGAGGCTACTTTGGGTTAGATAAAACAGGACCTTAGGAAAAAAAACCAGGAAGGACTTGCTGATTGTTAACGATTTCATTTGTGTTTGAAAACTGAACTGCAGAGCTCAGACAAAGCATTCTGAGGGCCAGTTCTCAGTTCCTAGCATCCCCTAGTCTTCCTCAGTTCTGCCACCTCTGACAGAATGGTCACTGGTTGGTCTGGATAATTCTACCTTTAAATCCATCCCACATTCTGATACTAAAATAATGACCCCTAAACTCACTCTCTTATCTCCTCATTCCTAAGACAATGAAGTCTAAACACATCTCCACGATACCAAGAGCCTTCCCATCAAGCCATATCCCAAATGCCAGCCACCCCTATTTCCTATACCTTCTAATATGCTTCTACCTCTATTCTGGTCACATGTGTTTTATCCCTGTCCCAAGAACTCAGCAAGGTCTTTCATTCACAGATTGTCAAATGATGATGAGATGCTATACAATTTCTGTTTTGTTTTGTCTTTTGAGACAGGGTTTCTCTGTGTAACAGCTCTGGTTGTCCCGGAACTTACTCTGTAGACCAGGCTAGCCTTGAACTCAAAGATCTGCTGCCTCTGCCTCCTAAGTGCTGGGATTAAAGGTGTGCACCACCACCACCACCAAAACCCAGCAGGTGCTATATATAATTTCACTGGAAAATGTGGTTTATTCCTAATCTGTGTCAGGATATTGGTGAGATTGCAAGATCACAAAGATAAGCAGAGCAGTCCCTAGCCATTGGTAGAAAAGACAGCTAGCAAGCAACTGATCCTCAGCATGGTGAGAGGAATGTGCTCTAGGGCACTGCAAGAGCCAGAAGAAAAGCACTCAACCTACACTCACAGTGCAGAGAACGATTCCCAAAGAAATGGTGTCATGGAGCTGAAGAGATAGCTTAGTACTCAAGAGTACTTGCTGCTCCTAAAGAGGACCTGTGATGGGCACCTCCATGGCACCTTACAACTGCCTATAATTCCAGTTCCAGGCAATCCAGCACTGACTTCTGGCTTTCATGGGCCCTGCATGCACATGGTGTACTTACATACATGCTGGCAAGACATTCACACACACGAACATTTAAAATTAATTTGTAAAAAGAGATGGGGTCAACACTCTAAGATATGTGTTTGCTTTGTCCTATTGCAGTTTGTTTTTGGTTTTATCTTTTATTATTTTTAGATGCTTGTTTCTTTTCTTTCTTTCCTTCCTTCTTTCTTTCTTTCCTTCCTTCTTCCTTTCTTCCTTCCTTCCTTCCTTCTTCCTTTCTTCCTTCCTTTCTTCCTTTCTTTGAGACAGGGTTTCTTTGTGTAGTCTTAGCTCTTCTTGGCTGAACTGGATCTCGCTCTGTAGACCAGGCTGGACTCAAACTCACTGAGATCCACCTGCCTCTGCCTCCCAAGTGCTAGGATTAAAGTCATGTGTCACCACCACCTGACTGCCTGCTTGTTTTTTAATGAGAGAAATGGGGGGTGGGAGTGGGGGGGGGGTGTAGATTTGGATGGGAAGAGAGGTGGGGAGGATCTGGGAGGAGTTGGGGAAGGGGAAATCATAATCAAAATATAATGTATGAAAAAAAAGTTATTATAGATAAAAGAAATATAGAATTAACTAATTTTAAAAAAAGAAAAAAGAGACTGTGTCGTAACTCTAAGACATACAGGATGAGATAGAGACAGATAACTAGAAGGGAAGTGGCATTTTTTCCATCACAAACAGCTGAGTTGAGGCCTGGATAGAGATTCAGTAGTTTGGGCTGATTGAAAGGTTGAAGAGGTGAAGAGGAGGTGAAATTGTTATGAGCACATATGAAAAGGACTGTTTGGTTCTGTTCATTAAAATGGAAGAACCTGGGAACTGAACCTGGGTCCTCGGAAATATCAGTCAGTGCTCTTAACCACGGAGCCACCGATGGGGGAAACCTGCAGAGACGACCAAACCAAACTAGTGGGAGCTCGTGGAAGTTGGATCAATGGCTGTGGAGCCTGCTTAGGAATGACCTAGTCCAGTCCTATGCACAGTCATGTAGCCTGATCTCCTTGGGGGGGCCCCCTGGCGGTAGGATCAGAATCCATCTCTGGTGCGTGAGCGGGCTTTGTGGAGCCCACTGCCTAGGATGGGACAGCTCCTGCAGCCTAGAGGCGGGGGGACAGGCTTCGATTTGCCTCTACTGGATGGGCCTCCTCCCCGTGGGAGGCCCTCGCCTTCTTGTGGGGGAGAGTAGGGGGGTAGGTTGGGAGGAGGAGGCTGGGGGGCCCGGGAGGAGGGAAGAGAGGGATCTTTGGTGTGTAAAAATGAATGAAAAAATTTTCTTAACAACAACAAAAAAAAGGGAAAACCGAAGAAGACAGCACGGACAGTGCCAGTTTCAACACATCTTAGTTTATCTTTGCAACACATGCACACACGCACACGCACACGCGCACACACACAGACACACATCTGCACACATGAATATACAGTCACACATACACACACACACAGACACACACATCTGCACACATAAATATACAGTCACACATACACACACACACACATGCACACACCCCTAGTTGGTTCCAGTACAAATGACAAACGCTCAGGAATTGATAATTAGTTTTCTATTCTCTTTATTTACCAGAGAGGCTACTCAGGTTCATTTTAGCCAGAATGTTGTAGTAGTCATGCTGTGGTTACAATCTGCCCAAAATCTCAATAGAATTAAATTTTTTGTTTCCACAAAACCCATTTCTGGTCCAAGTGACAGACACTTTGGGACAGATCTTTTCTATGTGGTGATTCAGTGATATCTGCTACTTTTGATTTTGTGTGACAGTGACTCCTCCGTACATTTTTTTAATTTTTTATTGTGCACTGGTGTTTTGCCATGGGTGTCGGGGTCCCCTGGAACTGGAGTTGCAAACAGTTATGAGCTGCCATGTGGACGCTGGGAATTGAACCCAGGACCTCTGGAAGAGCAGCCAGTGCTCTTAACCACTGAGGCCATCTCTCCAGCCCCTTCTCCATATATTTTACAAGTGACTGTGAAAGCAGGAAGAGAGACTGGAGGACAGCACTAGGAATTCAATATTCTAGTCATAGAAAGCAGCATAATTCGCTCAGTCAGTGATAAAGCAATTGCCTGGTTTAAACAAGACCCTGCTTTATCTTTAGTATCTAAAAGGACAGGGACAAGATGTGTGTGTGTGTGTGTGTGGTGTGTGTGTGTGTGTGTGTGTGTGTGTGTTTTGGGCTTTATGAGACAGGGTTTCTCTGTGTAGCCCTGCCTGTCCTGGAACTCACTCTGTGGTCCAGGCTGGCCTCAAACTCGGAGATCCACCTGCCTCTGCCTCCCAAGTCCTGGGATTAAAGGCGTGCACCACTGCCATCACCACCACCTGGCTTATGTTTTTCAGGAATAAGTCACCACTTCTGGCCCATAATCAACTTTCTGAGGGCCCACCAGTTTTCCACGGCAGCTGTACCATCTTGCAGTTCCATCAGTACAGCACACATCCCAATTTCTACATTCTCCCCAAGTGCCACTGTCTGTCTTTTGTGTTATCTTAGTAGATGTGAAACAGTTTCATGTTTTTAATGTTTCCTCAGTAACTGGTGATGTTGAACATCGTCTCCTGTGCTTATTGGCCTTTTGCTTATCATCTTTGGAGAATTATCTATTCGGTTCCTTTGCTAATCAAAACTATTTCTAGAATAAAATATACAGAAAGTAAAGGTTATCATTGGAACCATTCCAAGGGTACAGTTCAGTGGTACATTAACATCACTGTGCAGCAATCAGAACACATCTCCAGGATTCCTTTCCTCATGCCAAACTGACACTGTACTCAGTAGACAAATGTCCCTCCTCCATCGCCTGACAACCGTCGTTCTATGCTCTTCATGAATACAGCTGCTCTTGGTTCCTCAGACAGCAGTTGCAATTCTGTCTATATTGAGGACTGGCTTTGCATGCCTGCAGAAGAAGGTTTAGACATTTTGCTGGAGGTTGCATTGAATTGTAGGTCAGTTCAGAAGTTGTTCCCATCTTTTTTTTTTTTTTTTTTTTTTTTTGGTTTTTCGAGACAGGGTTTCTCTGTGTAGCTTTGCACCTTTCCTGGAACTCACTTGGTAGCCCAGGCTGGCCTCGAACTCACAGAGATCCGCCTGCCTCTGCCTCCCGAGTGCTGGGATTAAAGGCGTGTGTCACTGCTGCCCGGCTAAGGATTTTTTTTTTTTTGGTTAGTTGTTCCCATCTTAACACTAGTCAATCTTCTGCACTTTGAACTCAGATGCCTTTGCATCAGTTTAGGTTATCTTTCTTTCTTTCTTTCTTTCTTTCTTTCTTTCTTTCTTCCTTCCTTCCTTCCTTCCTTCCTTCCTTCCTTCCTTTCTTTCTTTCTTTCTTTCTTTCTTTCTTTCTTTCTTTCTTCCTTCCTTCCTTCCTTCCTTCCTTCCTTTCTTTCTTTCTTTCTTTCTTTCTTTCTTTCTTTCTTTCTCTCTCTCTTTCTTTCTTTCTTTCTTTCTTTCTTTCTCTCTCTCTTTCTTTCTTTCTTTCTTTTAAATTGGTTTTCTGAGACAAGGTTTCTCTGTGTAACAGCCTTAGCTGTCCTGGAACTAACTCTGTAGATCAGGATGGCCTTGAACTCACAGAAATCCACCTACCTCTGCCTCCTGAGGTTTTGGTGTTTAATCTCTTTATACTTAATGTATATTTATAAGATAATTTATACACAATGTACTTTTAGAGCACAAGCTTTACATCTTTCATGTTAAATCTATTCCTCAGACTATGTCAAAAGGATAACGATTTCATTATTTTATGTGATTTTTGTATTGTCACTGTAACATTTGGAATAATGTTTTTTAAAAGAATTCACCATGGTCAACCTCTGAGTTTACAATCAAATGCTGTGACTCTTTCCCAGTTGTCCTTTTCAGAGACTCCAGTGTTTTCCAATGGCCCACACAGTAAAAAGCTTAAAAATGAAACTGTCCCACTACTATGCTTGCTAATTTGGAAACCATCAATTTCTCTAGTGAACTTAACATTATCATAAAGATTCCAAACCAGTCCCATCCTATTAGAGGAGAGTGAATGTGAAACTTTGCTTGTCCCTGGAACTTCCACCCAGCAAATATAAATTTTTTAAAGGGTGTAGGGCCAGGGAGATAGATGAGTTTGTGGTCAATTTTAGAGAAGGTTCCATGGCGTGCTGAGAAGAAGGTATATTCTTTTGTATTAGGGAGTTACTGCTACAGGGAAGAATGTTTCTGTAGATATCTGTTTAGTCCATTTGAGTCATGACATCTGTCAGATCTCTTATTTCTCTGTTAAGTTTCTGTCTGGCAGACCTGTCCATTGGTGAGAGTGGGGTGTTGAAGTCTCCCACTATTAATGTGTGGGGTTTGACGTGCAATTTAAGCTTTAGTAATGTTTCTTTTACAAATGTGAGTGCCCTTGTATTTGGGACATACATGTTCAGAATTGAGACTTCATCTTGGTGGATTTTTCCTGTAATGAATATGTAATGTCCTTCCCGATCTCTTTCAGTTGATTTTAGTTTGAAGTCTATTTTGTTAGATATTAGGACAGCTACACCAGCTTGCTTCTTTTTTTTTTTTTTTGGTTTTTCGAGACAGGGTTTCTCTGTGTAGTTTTGCGCCTCTCCTGGAACTCACTTGGTAGTCCAGGCTGGCCTCGAACTCACAGAGATCCGCCTGGCTCTGCCTCCCGAGTGCTGGGATTAAAGGCATGCGCCACCACCGTCCGGCACCAGCTTGCTTCTTGAGTCCATTTGATTGAAAAGTCTTTTCCCAGTCTTTCACTCTGAGGTAGTGTCTGTCTTTGAAGTTCAGGTGTGTTTCTTATATGCAGCAGAAGAATGGATCCTGTTTTCATATCCATTCTGTTAGCCTGTGTCTTTTTATAGGTGAATCGAGATCATTGACATTAATGGATATTAATGATCAGTGATTGTTAATTCCTGTTATATTTTTGGTGGTAGTGTGTGTGTGTGTGTGTGTGTGTGTGTGTGTGTGTGTGTGTGTGTGTGTGTTTCCCTTTTTTTGGGATTTGCTGCTGTGGTGTTATCTATTGCCTCTGTTTTTGTGGGTGCACCTAACTTCCTGGGGTTGAAGTTTTCCTTCTCGTGCTTTCTGTAGGGCTGGATTTGTGGATAGGTATTGTTTAAATCTGGTTTTGTCTTGGAATATCTTGTGTACTCCGTCTACGGTGACTGAAAATTTTGCTGGATATAGTAGTTTGGGCTGGCATCCATGGTCTCTTAGTGTCTGCATAACATCTTTCCAGGTCCTTCTGGTTTCAGAGTCTGCATTGAAAAGTCAGGTGTTATTCTGATGGGTTTGCCTTTATAAGTCACTTGGCCTTTTTCCTTTGCAGCTGTAAGGATTCGGTCCTTAACTATGTCATCAGCCTTCGACAGCATCCCAGCCTAAAAAGCGGGTGGGCCCTCTGTGTGCTCTCTGTCTCCTCTCCTTTCTGCTCCTTCCTCCTGTCGGCCCCCCTCTCTCCCCCCTTCTCTCTCTCTCTCTCTCTCTCTCTCTCTCTCTCTCTCTCTCTCTCTCTCTCTCCCTCCCCCCCCTCCTCTCCCAATAAAGTTCTAAAAGGGTAACCATGGCTGTGATTCTTTCAATCAGCACACTCCTCCGCTGGCATGGCTGCCGTGGGCGGTGACCAGCCACGAGGAGCAGCGCTGTAGCATAAACAACAGCAGCTCTTAATATTCTTTCTTTATTCTGTATGTTTAGTGGTTTGATTATTATGTGGTGAGGGGACTTTTTCCCCCTTTTTTATTATTAAGAAATTTTCTATTCACTTACCAACCACAGATCTCCCCTTCCCTCTTCCTGCTCCCCAGCATTCCCCCGCAACCCACCCCCATCCCCACATTTTCCCAAGTTAAGGTCTCCCATGGGGAGTCAGCAGAGCCTGGCACACTCAGCTGAGACGGGTCCAAGCCCCTCCCTCCTGCACCAAGGCGGCACAAGGTGTCACACCCTAGGCACTGGGCTCCAAAAAGCCGGCACCAGGGACAGATCCCAATTCCCCTGCGGGGGGGGGGGGGGGGGCGGGGAGCAGTTCAAGCTAAACGACTGTCTCTCTTATCCAGAGGGTCTAGTCCAGTCCTATGGAGGTTCTACAGCTATTAGTCTACAGTTCATGGGTTTCCACTAGTGTGTCTGGTCGTCTCTGCACGTTTTCCCATCATGGTCTCGACGTACCCTGCCCACAGAATCCCTTCTCTCTCTCATCGATTGGATTTCTGGAGCTTGGCCTGGCGCTCGGCCATGTATCTCTGCATCGGCTTCCATCAGTCACTGGATGAAGGTTCTATGATGACAGGTTATTTTCTACTCCAGTCACTGGAGTAGACCAGTCCAGGCACCCTCTCAATCATTGCCAGTAGTCCAAGGTGGGGTTATCCTTGTGGATTCCTGGGAACTTCCCCAGCACCCTGCCTCTTCCTATTCCCATGATGTCTTCATTTATCATGGTATCTCTTTGCAAGGGGACTTTTTTTTTTGAGTCCAGTCTATTTGGTGTTCTGTAAGCTTCTTGTATCTTCATAGGCATTTCCTTCTATAGGTTGGGAAAGTTTTCTTCTATGATTTTGTTGAATATATTCTCTGTGCCTTTGGTTGGCATTCTTCTCCTTCTTCTATATAATTCTTAGGTTTGGTCTTTTTGTGGTATCCCAGATTTCCTGGATGTTTTGTTTATAACTTTTTTGGCTTTGGTGTTTTCTTTGACTGATGAATCTATTTCTTCTATTGTATCCTCCATGCCAGAGATTCTCTCTTCCATCTCTTGCATTCTGTTGGTTATGCTTGCATCTGTAGGTCCTGTTCATTTGCTCAGATTTTCTGTTTCCAGTATTCTCTCTGTTTGTGTCTTCTTCATTGTCTCTATTTCAGTTTTCAGGGCTTGAACTGTTTCCTTCACCTGTTCAGTTGCTTTTTCTTGGTTTTCTTGGCTTTCTTTAAGGGATTTATTGATTTCTTCAAATTTTTTGTTTGTCTTTTCCTCAATTTCTTTAAGGGAATTTTTCATTTCCTTTTTAAAAACCTCTATCATCTTCATAAAGTTATTTTTAAGGTCGCTTTCTTCTGCTTCTTCTATGTTGTGATGGTCAGGTCTTGCTGTTGTAGAACTGCTAGGTTCTGGTGGTGCCATATTGCTCTTTATTGTTGTTGAATGTATTCTTGCACTGGCGTCTACCCATCTCTTCCTCCAATTGGTGCAAGAGATATCTGTGTTTCAGGGCGCCATTCTTGGTCCATTCAGAGCTCTTGGTCCAATGGGAGCTGGAGGATTCTTTGTCTCAGGGAGTTGCTCTTGCTCCAATCAGAACTGGCAGATTCTGTGTCTCAGGAAGCAGCTGAGGTCGCAGGTGGATAGGTGGGTTTGGGGTAGGGAGTAGGTCTTGTATATTGCAGGGTCCCCTGGGGGGGTGTTGGTAGGGAGGTCTGCCCCCTGGAGTCTTCCCTACTGGCTAGCAACTGGGGCAGCGATGGGGTTTGGGGGGGGCGCACGTTTATGCCTCAGGACCTAGGTCCCAGAAAACAGGACTCTCCAGCTGCGACAAGAGTCACTCACCTCTTGGTCCCATAAAACAATTTTAAAACATCATGAGGAAGAACAAAAGACCCTTGAGCAACCCTGAAAAAACAATAGCAATGCAATATCATATTAGCTAATTTCAAATTACATTATAGAGTCATAGAAACACAATCACATAGTACTGGCATAGAAACAGGTATGCAGAACAATGAAAATGACAGAGAAATCCAGTAGTAAATACCTACAGCCATCTGATTCATGACAAAGGTTAATAAACCATACATGGGTGCTAGAGCGAAGGCTTGGCAGTTAAAAACACTTACTCAGCTCAGTTCCCAGCACCCAGGGCGGCTCATAACCATCCATAATTCAAATTTGAGGGGATCTGACACCCTTTTCTGAACACCACAGGTACCAGGCAGGAACATTTTTTGTGAGCCTGCTTTAATTTGTTGTGTGGACTGCCCACTCTTGGGATGCATGCTTCAGAGACACAATTTTGTTCTTACAGTCAACCAGAAAGGCCATTAACATATGCAAAAGACATCTGACTCACATGGGGGAACTCTACCCGTGGCTGGGCTACTAGGAACAGCCAAGGAGCTCACCTTAGGGACTCCTCTGCCGGTTATGTGATTATGCTAAACATGCAACGATCACTCAGCATTACACTCTTTTCCTTCCCTCCCTCCCTCCCTCCCTCCCTCCCTCCCTCCCTCCCTTCCTCCCTTCCTTCCTTCCCTCCTTCCTTCCTTCCTTCCCTCCCTCCCTCCCTCCTTCCCTCCCCCCTCCCTCCCTCCCTTCCTTCCCTCCCTCCCTCTTTCCTTCCTTCCTTTCTTCTTCCCTCCCTCCCTCCCTCCCTCTTTCCTTCCTTCCTTTCTTCTTTCCTTCCTCCCTCCCTCCCTCTTTTCTTCCTTCCTTCCTTTCTTTTTTTTCTTTCTCCTCTCTCTCTTTCTCTTTCTTTCAGCCTCAAGAAATTGTTTGCCTCCTGAAATTGTTAATTCACTATTTAACTAGATGGCATCACTCTGTTAGCTGCCAGATGACCTGCTCCTAGGTGGAGCCTCTCCACCACAGGGGATTGTTCTCTGGTGGCCTCCAGGCTGTAGCTTTGCTCCGGACTTGAAGGTGACTTTGGGCTTAGGACAATGACTTGTCTCTGTGCCTTCAGGGGAAGGGGAAGCTGAAAGAGTTAAATTAGGTGTCCCAGGTGTCCCGGGTGTCTGCACTTTAGTGAGTGTGCAGCTACAGGAAATGGTAAACAAGTGGGGGGCGGTGAGAATGCCGAGGAAGGACAGAGATGGCAGGCAGCATCTTGCTTTTTGTTATTTGCTGGGACTCCAAGTAAGGAGTCAATTTTAAAAATAACAGCAGTGTGTGTGTGTGTGTGTGTGTGTGTGTGTGTGTGTGTGTGTGTGTTATCCACATGGGCATTGTGGAGGAATGCGAGGGCACAGGTGTTCCTCCCGTCCTGGTACCTCATGGCTTTCATGAATTAAAAAAAGTAGCGAACAAATTGCTAAAGGAAAATGAAATGGTTTATTGTTTGGCAAAATGGGAGGGTGGGGTGGGCAGACAGACTCACACCGAGTCTCTCTTTTATGTGGTGGTGTTACAATTTTACAGGGAAGACAAGGAAAATCCATCAAATATGCATGAATACATTTCCACTCTTTGCAGTCCACTGTTTCAATAGGCTGCTAACTGAAGGGAGGACAAGGTGCCTCTCTTTAAAATAGGTCCTTTCTTGCCATGACTGCCTTTATTAGGATTAGAGGCTGGGACACTTCAGATCAAACAGCTTGGGTTTGGCCACCCATCCCCAGTAGGCTAATTATCTAAATAAACAAACTACGGAAAAACAGATGGAAAGAATTTATTGTGTGCTGCCACACTGGCAAGACAAAAGGGGTCTAGCGACCATCTTCTCTCCCAACACCCAGGCCATTTTCTAGGTCTCGACACAAGGTTCAGGTTTAAGTAGAGGGCTGCAGTCATACATAACTAAACAGCCCTGGTCAAGGTTTTGTCCCGCTCATCATGCTCGTCATTGTTTCCTGCAAGGTGGCCTAGCAAGTTGTCAGAAGGATGTGAAATCTCTTTGCAGGAGACAAACTCCCTCTGTGACTGACACCATGGGCCAGTCTTTTGTCCTTATCTCAGCATGAGACTCCTGAGGAGGTTTCAGTTTCTCAGGGTCCGTTATTTCACTAGCCGCCTAGCCGGAGTGGTACAAGTGTCTCCTGCGAACATCTTTATTCCCCCTGGATGGTTGCACTACCAAGGCCATGGTCACAACTCCTCTTTCTAATATCACCTTTTGGTGAACAATATTAGTTCTATTTTGATAACTTCATAATTTGTAAAATACCTATATATATATATATATTTATATTTAAAACATCCAATCTATAACATTATAATGAGTTGTATTATCTAGTAGGACCGGTAGCAAAAACGACAGAACAGCCCATCTCAACATTACAAAATATATGTATAATTCATACAGAACAGAGTCCAGGAGCCATATAAAAGTGTCTTCACACACAGGTCAGCTCTTTAAATTATTTTGGCCTTTTAAATTTACATTGTAAGTACACCTAGCATAAAGCAGTATTTACCTAGATTATATTTAGCAATTGAATCCCCTTTTAAGTGTAATATACTATCTATCTCTTCTTAAGATCTAATAGCATAGTCCTTTATCTATTACATATAGAATAATATAAAATCCTACCCACATCCAGAATGTTATTCTATGTATGAGATAGGGCCTCTCCTAATCTCATCACAGAAGGGAGATTTTCATAAAGATCATTAAGGAATGTAGTAGCTAGAGCGATCCTTCTAGGTGTCCAAACTATTCAGGGACTTCATCCAGCATGCATAGGAAAAACCAAAAACTTACGGTGCCCTTTGAGGTCCTACATCAACCTGACCCCTTAAAATTTCTGTCTCCATATTTACACTGTTGCCCCCATTTAGCCTTTGCTTGAACACAGCCGGCACACTTTTGAGGTGCTCTCTCTCCATAGGCTGCTCCTTCTACCCAGGATACTGTACCTTCAAATAGATGCCTAGCTAAAGCGAGGACACAACATGTAGGTTGTGGCAATGACAAGAAAGGATTCTGTGGTGTTATTCCCCCCACGCCACAAGCACATTAATGGAATTCCAGTACAAACACATGGAGCTGTTGAGTGTCTCAAGAATGCGGCACACTCCAGGAACCTTGATGAAGAATAGTGATCACTCACTGTGTGCCCAGTCCTTAGACTGGCGTCAGGATGGAATTTTTATTTTTACAGAATGAGGACTGTTTTTTTTTTTTTTTTTTTTTTAAATTTTGAGTTTGTTCGCTTGTTTGTTTTGTCACACTTCCCAAGTCAAATCTTTGGACTTCTTAGGGAAACACAAAAGAAACCCACTCTCCCCTCCCCACCCCCACCATGCTGAGCACCCTTAGGGCATCAGCTCCCAAGTGTTTTACTGAGTGAGTCTTTCCTACTGGGTAGCACACAATGGGTGGGAAGAGCCATCTTTCCCTATTTAGCATATTTTATTAGCCATAGGAGTGTGGCTTCATAACCTCAACACTGAATCCTTTCAGTTCCCAGAGCTTAAAAAGGACTCACCCTACACGCTAGTCACGAGTTGGCTATCAGGCTCCATTTCACAAGGAAACTCACCTGCCTCTTGAGGACCTGCAGACCTAAGTTGATCTGGGGTGTCAGCACCATGCTCAGGATTATGCGTAAGATTTTTGCCTTCTTCAGGAGGAGGAAGATAGACACCCAGGAAAAGGAGCGGGCTCACCGTCAAGTCAAGGTATTCCTTTTTATATCCTTATCCACTACTCAAAAAGCATTGGAGCTTAAGAAGACCGGAATGGCTGCGAGAGACTGTTGTTACCATCTGGAATGGCCATTCTGGGGACATTGTCCCTCACAGAGGGCATGGAGGGTGATGAGAACAGCCTTCCTCTTTGGTCAGTAGCAGTTGTCCCTTAGGGACTCTGCATACACAGACAAAATAATATCATTTAACCTGTGCAAGGCATGCACATTTTCAAGGAGTGGTCATGTATGCATCAGTTAGTGTGCGCAGTGGAAAGAAGCAGATACTGTGAGTACCCTTGTTTTAGCAGGTATAAGATGCTCAGGAAGGTTTAGAAATGTGCTACACGGTCGATCTGTGATCTGATGCAGCACCTCACAGTCACACAGCCTGAATAAGAGATCCTCAGAGTACGAGAGATCTAGCTTCCCAGGAGCGCTTATAACCTAAGCAATCTGGATCCCAGCTTCATGCTCTTGACCATGGCCTTCCACTGTGTGTGGTTTCGAGGGGACTGTGCTTTATAGAAAAGAAGGGCACAAGCAGGATTTGAACTTGTTTACTCTGCCTCCAGAATCCCACACAGATCGCCATTATGCCCAACTGTCTATCGTGTGGTTCAAAAATCAGAGCCCTTCTGTTTCTAGGAGATAATTGTCTACCATGTGTTTCTCTAGTAAGGATTGTTTGCTGCAAGTGTTACTGGCTTTTCAGATTACTAAACAGAACCTGTTGTTTGCCTCTCTTACAGGTGAGTGCAACTTCAAGTCTGTGCAGGGTGTTGTGACAAGTTATTCTGGTAATTATGGCTGGATCGAATCACTTATATCCTTTAATGCTGAGGTCGTGACTGGTCATGTGCCTCTGAGAGTCCAGCAAACAGTTACTGCCCATGTGAAATTTCAAAGCACCCGTGGATTGAGAGCTACTAAAGTAAGATCTGCATGAATTTGATACTGCATGATACTTTCTTTTCTTAACGCATTTTCACTATTGTTTCTATTTTTAATTCAACCATTTAAATGTGAGTTCTATAGTGTATCTACAGGGTTTTGAGGTTCTTCACCCTTGAAATTTTAGGTCCCCCCCCATTTTTCTTTTGTATTTTGAGACAATGAACTAACAGAGATCCTCCCGCCTCCCCAAGTGCTGGGATTAAAGCCACATACCACCACATCTAGCCCTAGCCTCTTTTCAAATAGTTGTAGTGATCTCTGTATCAAAAAAAATGCAAGAAAGACAGGGTCTCACGGTGTAGCTCAGGCACACCTGAAATTCACTTCCTAGCTTTGAGCTCATGATTTTCTGACCTCTGCCTCCAGAGTGCTGGGATTTATAGGCATGCGCCTGGGGTAAAAAGTGTAAGGAAGAGTCCCAGCATGCAGCTGGAGACAGCACCTCACAGTAACACAGCCTGAATAAGAGATCCTCAGAGTACGGAGAGATCTAGCTTCCCAGGAGTTTTCTGTCATGGTTCCATGGTAGGCTGTGACCCAGGGCAGATCTTTGTGATTTTGTTGTGGGCTGCTCTCCAAGGTGGATGGAGACCTGCTGCTAAGAGCTTTGCCTCATCACTAAGCTGGATGGCAGTTTAGAAAGTTGGGTGGCCAGCGAAATCTTTAAATGAATTTTGTCAGTGCTTGAACCACAGTGCTTTGTAAACCATCACGTCATGCATAAGTAGGATCTTGCAGTGTAATGCATGCTCGTTCTCCCGCAGGATACATGTTTAAATGTCTTTTTTAAGACAATTTATTTTGAGACAAGGTTTCTCTGCATAGTTTGGTGCCTGTCCTGGATCTTGTTCTGTAGACCAGGCTGACCTGAAACTCACAGAGATCCGCCTGGCTCTGCCTTCCGAGTGCTGGGATAAAAGGTGTGCGCCACCACCACCTGGCAAGACAAACTCTTGTTCTGTTGTCCAAGCTACCCTTGAACTAACTGAGTTCATGTGATCCTCCAGCCTCAGCCTCCTAGTAACTGGGACCTCAGGATTTCATTGAACACGAAGAAAAACACTCGGTTTGAAGCATTTCTTGAATAACATTTTAAGCCAATGATTCTCAACCCCTTTGGGGTTGCATATCAAATATTTGCATTGCCATTCATAGCAGTAGCAAAGTTACAGTTATGAAGTAGCTATGAAAATAATTTTATGGTTGGGGGGGGTCACCACAACATGAGGAACTATATTAAAGGGTTGCAGCATTAGAAAGGTTGAGAACCACTGTTTTAGGGACATGAGTTTACTTTTTTGGTCCTATTTTAAGTGCTTGTTTCCTTGTGCTATAGGTGGATGTTGTCCCTGATAAATCTGTGACCACCAGTCTATCATACCATGAATCCAGATCTTTGGTTGGTCATGTTACCTGTGTAAAGAAAAATTTGGTGTATGTTGAAAACAAAATTTCTTTCTCTATCAGCCGTGTGATTGAAGGTATGGTTTATATGTCAAAGGACACAATGCTTAATATTTTGGTAATATTTCAGCAGTGGAATTGTTTCTACCTTTGGTGGCTTCAGTGGCTCTTTACTATCTGAGATGGACTTTGGAAGGGAAGGTGTAATACAGAGATGAGAGAGCAGTATTTGTAAAATTCATGCTATCGTTCATTATGTACCCATCAGTCAAATGTAGTCAATAACGTCTGCTCAGTCTCTCAAAGTCAACCATTCTGTCATTCATGTATATAATTTCTTATAATAAAAGATAGTGTATTTGATATATTTGAATAGAGACCATTCTAAAATAGACTTAAAATGAAGATAGGTAAGATGGCTGTAGTGGACTATGATGTGCTTGACCTCGCAAGCCCAGTGACCTGAGTTACATCCCTGGAACCCACATAAATGTGGAAGGAGAGAAACACTCTACAGACCTCTGACTTTCACACCTGGATGGTAGCATGTCAGCCCTATTAAACACACAATGAAAAACACCTTTAAATAGTGAAAATGCTTCAAAGTAAGGCGAGGGAATGGGCTTGGAGTTTTCTGTGTATACTGTGTGCCTACTGTTGAATTCTCCTTGTAATTAGCAGATTTTCTGAGATTTTGTTTATATCCAGAACTATAGTTTGTGTGTTTTCACTCTAATAAAGTTGACATGTAGCTGGAATAAAAGAAGCAGCAAAATCAGCATAGCCCCAACCAGGCAACTTGCAAGTTTTCCTACTGTGGGTGTAAATGCTGTTGTGAAATGTTGACTCTCTTCTTTGTGGATGATGCACTGTATCGACAAAGGTAGAGTCAGGAAATGATGTGACAGTCCTGGCCAAAGGTGATGGAGGCCCTTGAGGACTCTTGATGCTGGACATATTTTGAAGTTAGTAATAAATATTGGATAGATTTGGAGCTTTGTGTAAAGGAGGAATCACAGGTAACTCTAGAGCTTTTAAATGTGTCTCCTTATAGCTTTACTGAGGTATTCTTGACAATTGTAAGTACTTAGCATTTTCCATGTGGCATTTGGAGCTATACATACATCGTGAAATAATTAACAGACTCCAGTGGTCTGCATAGCCTCAGCCTAATGTAGTTAGTTATTTTGTGTGTGGTGGGAACACATGAGATCCATGTCTTCAGTCAATTTAAACCATTACTGTTAACAATAGTCGCCATGCTTCTAATTTGCTCCAGTACTTACCTTATGGCTGGAAGTTTCTAGACTTGGCGATTGTCTCGGGGATGTCTGGTCCTTGTCAGAGGGGGCTTCTGGAGCCCTGTGCAGAGCTTGCCAATGGGAACACAGCAGCTCCTGCTGTGTGGCAGAGACTGATGGTCCCACCCGCTCTTTTTGTCCCCAGTCCTTTTCCAGCACCTCAGCTGGTCTTTTCCCAGAATCCTACAGGGTGAAACAGAAGCAGTCATTTAGGCAGGGTTTCCCAATAGCTAGGGATACTAATATCCACTCTTCTCTCCTTTCCTTTAGAGGGGAACCTAGGACTAAGAGAATTCCCTCTGCACACTGCGGAGTGTCTGCTTGGAGGGTGGGATTAGGCAAAATGATGCTATAATTTCTACTTTGGGCACAAGTTTTTGTTTTTGTTTTCTCCTGCTGCTGCGCTGCTGCAGCTTTTCACGTGAGCTCCCACACGCTTTCATTTCACAGCTGGTTCTGCTACTGGCTATCTGTACAATAGTTGCCTGTGGGAGGCCAGAAAGCTGAGCTCTACTGTGGAGTCTCGCATTGGTTCTCTTTGCTGCCTGTGACTGCAGGTTTTTAGTTGAGCCAGAGAAAGGATGGAGCCACCAGTCTGAGATGTGGAAGGAAGACTCATGGCAAGTCGGGCGAGAAGAAGAGAAACAATGGGTGGGGCTTTACACAGTTGAGTTTGCACAGGATAGCAGCGTGTGGGTTTGGTTAGGCCTGGAGGCACGTACGTTTTGAAACTGTCATCCCAATAGGTAATACATAAAGCCACACACAGCAAAGAAATGAATTCAGATGAGAGAAAAAATTAGTGAGAAAGCTCTGTCAAGTCCACATTTCTGGTTATGTAGTAATCAAGTGTTCCACTATTTCAGTAGTGCATGTTAACTTAAGTGGGTGGGCTAGTTAGTCAACACTCTCACCTGCAGGATTTGGGATTTCCAGTTACTGTAGATACCTTGTTATCCCGGGACTTTTCAACATTTATTTTTATTTCATGTGCATTGCTGTTTTGCCTGCATGTATGTCTATGTGAGGGTATTGGATCCCCGGAACTGGTGTTACAGGCAATTTCGAGCTGCCATGTAGGTGCCGGGAATTGAACCAGGGTCCTCTGGAAGAGCAGCCAGTGCTCTTAACCACTGAGCCATCTTTCCAGGTTCTCTTATTTTTAAACTTTTAATGAAAATAGTTTTTCTGTCACATAATATATCATTATTAGAGTTCCCCCCACTCTCAGTTCCTCCCCACCTCCCCTCCTATCTGGATCCACCTCCTTTTTGTCTCCTTAGAAAACAAACAGGCTTCTAGAGGATTCGAATAGAATAGAATAGAATCAGACAAGACAATAAGTAACACATCAGAATAGGACAAAACAGAAGGAGAAGAGCCCAAGAACAGATGCAGATGCAGATGCAGATGCAGATGCAGAGACCCACTCGCTCTCACACTCAGGAATCCCATTAAACCACTAAACTGGAAGCCATAATGTATACACAAAGGACCTATCAGGTAAAAGAGACAGAAGTAAGTGTGTGTGTGTGTGTGTGTGTGTGTGTGTGTGTGTGTGTGTGTGTGTAAATGACAAGTTAAAAAAGACAGGGAAAGCCCTGGTGCAGCATTATGAGACAAGGAACCTCCAAAGATGCCATTGGGCTTCTTTTCTGTTGCCCAGCTACAGCTAGGCATGCATCCAACTTTGAAGAGTAGTTAGTGTCCCTAGTGAGACTCTCTTGGAGAAAACTAAATTTCATTTACAAGTGATTATCAGTCGGCGAATGCTTCTGGATTAAGGATGGGGGCACGTGTCCATTTCCCCTCTCAGTGCTGGGACCCCTTCTGGTGTGGAGCCATGCAGGCCCTGTGCATGCTGCCTCTGTCTCTGAATTAATATGTGTGTTGATGTTGAGGATTTTGTTTTCTTGGTGGTGCCCTACATCTCCTTAGGCAGAGTGTGCCAAGCTTTCTCACTCTCTGTAATGTCTGGCTGTGGCTCTTTGTATTTGTTCCTATCTGCTGCAGAAGGAAGTTTCTCTGATTATCCTGGGACTTTTTACTCAGCATAAAATCCTATTGAAAACTACATATTCACAACCATAAAATAGTGTGTGTGTGTGTGTGTGTGTGCGTGTGTATTCTGCATATAATATATATTTTATATGTTGGATTTATAGTCCTGGTCATCTTGCTATTATATTTATGTTTTACATAACTAGAAAATATAACACATATTTAAGAGTTCTTCAGCTGACTCGGACACTTTTGGAAACAGATTGATTTTTATCTTGACACTGTTTCCTAGCACAATTAACATACCTAAGTAGGAATCAATATTATCAACATTCATGAGGTGGTTACCATATGGCAGACATCATTCTAGGAAATGTATCCATAATTGCCACTACAGGTGTGAGTCTAAGGACTGACTTTCTCAGGTAAGGGAGCCCAGGCTCTGAATGGCAAGTCCCTTCTCTGAGGTTTCAAAGTCTCTTTAACAAACTTTGAATACAGGTAGCTGCTGAAAAGCGGAAAGAATTCCATTCACATTTTCCCTCTGCTCCCTTAGGTTTTGCGCCTTACAGAGGTGACTGGCTAGAAGTCGAGTATATCAAGCTTCGGTGGACCTCAAAACTCCATGTACTGTCAGCAAAGCCCATCAAAGTCAAGTACTTGAAAGAGGTGATCTGTTTCCATGTTGCACTTGACCTTAGTTTCCGAGAGTCTATGGGATGAGTCTCGTGGCCAGAAAATCTCTCGGGAGTGCCGGAAATCATGTCTTCTTTACCAAGAATTTCTTATAGAAATGGCAACACTTCCCAAAGGAAATGGTTTGGAAATAATACAGAAGATAGACATAAAATTAAGCTCCTAGTTACACAGTATTTTTTTTTGGAACATTAATCGGGCATATTCTTAGCTGATCGGAAGAAAACCCATCATCCTACTGAAACTAGTTCTGAAGAGAGGCGGGAGTACCCTGTGGGGTCAGAGCTTCTCAGGAATAGCTAGCTATTGTTGAGAGAATGGAGACTGACTATGAGCTTCAATAACGAAGCAGATGAAATAATGTGTGTAGGGGACCGAGGGATAGCTCAGTCAGTGGAATGCGTCCTGTGCAAGCATGGGGACCTGAGTGTAATTCCAAACACCTACATAAAAACAAAAAACCCCAACACACTGACATGGCAGCCTACACTTGGAATCCCAAGGCTGTGGAGACAGATCCATGGGGCTTGCTAGCCAGCCGGTCTCAGCTAACTGGCAAGCACCAGGTTCAGTGAGAGACCCTGTCTCAAAAAGGTCACTCATTTGTGAGGGGCACCAGCTAAGATTGCTCTCAGGCTTTTCAATGCATGCACACACATACTCATGACCCCATACACCTGTATGTGGGTACTCATGAAATACACAAACACCTGACCGCCCCCCCCCCATATGCAGGTGAGTGGGGAAAATAATTGTCATCTTCTCCACCTTAATCCTTTCTCAGTCAACTCTTTCTGACCTCTTAACTTGGATTATGAGGGGTTAATGGCCACTTGGATTCATATTCAGAGCCACGGAGCACATTCTTCTTATTGGTGTGAGGGTGGGATTCAGCGGGGTGGGGTGGCTTATACAGCACCCAGGTACTGTCAGTGTTCCAGACAGGATGGGTACCAGGGATGGGAAGGAGTAGCGATCTGCTGGTCAGAGCCTACAAGTGCAGACTACATTTCTCCATAAACTGTTCTATCATATGTGTTTGCAGGTCTACATTACTTTCCTGGAGGGAAGACATGGAATGATAGAATACGCCATCTTTTTCACCTTGGATTCACTGAAGCTTCCTCCTGGATATGAGCCTAAAGTAGGTGATGTTGTGAACGTGACCGTAGTGGAAAGTGTTCACCTTTTCTCTGTTTGGAGAGCAATTACTATGAGCCCAGTGGAAAGATCATAAGAAAATATTTCTTTTTTTCTTTTTTTTTTTGGGGGGGGGGTTTGAGGGTTTCTCTATGTAACAGTCCTGTCTGTCCTGGAACTCACTCTGAAGCCCAGGCTGGTCTCGAACTCAACAGAGATCCACCTGGCTCTGCCTCCCTAGTGCTGGAATTAAAGGTGTGCACCACCACTTTTTGTTTAAGTTAAAAGGATGCATTTATTATTAATTTTTTTCATTTATTTTACATACCAACCACTTAGTTTCCCCTCCCTCCTCTCTTCCTGTTCCCTCTCCCTCCCTCCCTTCTATTCCCCATCCACTCCTGTTCAGAAAGGGGCAGGCCTCCCATGGGAGTCAACATAGCATGGCGCATGAAGTTGAGACAGAACCAAGCTCCTCCCGCTGAATGAAGGCTGGGCAAGGCATCCCTGCATAGGTTCCAAAAAGCCAGCTCATGCACCTGGTCCCACTGCTAGGGGTCCCACAAACAGACCAAGCTACACAACTGTCACCCACATGCAGAGGGCCTAGGTCAGTCTCATGCAGGCTCTCTAGCTGTCGGTCTAGAGTCTGAGCTCCCACGAGCTCGGGTCAGCTGCCTCTGTGGGTTTCACCATTATGATCTTGACCTCCTTTGCTCCTATAATCCCTCCTCCCTCTCTTCAGCTGGACTCCTGGAGCTCGGCCCAGTGCTTGGCTGTAGATCTGCATCTGCTTCCATCAGTTACTGGATGAAGGTTCTATGATGACAATTAGGGTAGTCACCAATCTGATTACAGGAGAAGGCCAGTTCAGGCACCCTCTCCACTGTTGCTAGTTGTCTTAGCTGGTGTCATCCTTGTGGATTCCTGGGAATTTCCTTGGCACCAGGTTTCTCCCTATCCCCCGAAATGGCCCCTTCTCTCAAGATATATTTTTTGTTACTTTCTCTCTCTGTCCCACCCCCAACTTGACCAACTGGATTCCTCACATTCCCATCCCCTCTTCTCCCCCTCTCCCCACCCCTGCCCCCAGTTTACCCAAGAGATCTCATCTGTTTCCCCTTCCCTGGGAGATCCATGTGTCCCTCTCATGGTCCTCATTACCTAGCATCTCTGGGGCTGTGGATTGTAGCCTGGTTATCCTTTGCTTTATATCTAACATCCACTTATGAGTGAGTACATACTGTGTTTGTCTTTCTAGGTCTGGCTTATCTCAGGATGATTTTTTTCTAGTCCATCCATTTACCTGCAAATTTCATGATGTCATTGATTGTTACTGCC